TCGTTGATTACAAATAGCGAAATTCCTAGTTCCTAATTCCTAGTTGGACTTATGGTTTAGTTATCTAATGGAAACTTGCCCTACAGCTTTGCACAAAAGACTCACATACCAAAGTTCAAAAGCAAAAATGTTTTTTAACAAAAATTTTATTTATCAAAGTACAAAGAATGTTTATTCATTTAATTATTTTGCATACAAGTATTGTTATGACATTAGTAATATTTATTAGATTAAAACATAAATTTATGAAATAGAAATTTGAAATTTTTATGGAACAGAAATTCAAAATTTTTACGTAGGCTTACGAGTTATTTTTAATGGCTTCAATTTTTTACGAACATAGGGATCATTAATAGGATTAACTAAAATAGTATGCTGATTGCTTTGAAAGTAAACGGACAACCTCCTTCTCATCACCATCGTCAGAGCTGGATGAGCTTGACAAGAACTCCTGTGATAACATTGTCCGTACAAGCTTGAAGTAAAAATGTTGAAAATACTGAGACTAAGCTCGTTAAACGATAATAACACCATCAATAAGTAATAATGTATACTTGAACTAATACATACCAAATAGCTTGTTGCCCACATATATTAATGGCATTTAAAAGTAAACAACGTTATGGTGGTTCATATTTGTCATAACCAGCTATCGCCATAAGTCTTCAAACTTCCTGTCGCGATAACAGTGAGATTTGCGCGACAGTAATAGAAAATTTTCATTCACTTTGCATAGACAGATATGAGCTAAAGTGTATAGAGCCAAAGTTTAAGTAAAACTTCGATGCACGCTTCCATTTTGTAACAACAACTGAGAGAGAGTATCACAAGACAACGGTGAAAAATAACAAGGATGACAACAAAGGAGAGCTTCAGTGAGACGTAGATGTATGCATGCAGTAACGATGACGACGATGGATAAAGTAAAGTGCTATCAGGCACTACTGCTTTTAAGACCGTCGCTGCTCTCAAGACTGCTGTTGTTGTCATTGTGATGACTGCAGACGTGGAAAACAAGTTGCACTGTTACATACGGGATGCCTACAACGAGGTCCCTTGATATACTGCTATAACATACAGATAGACGACTACGACAGACGTACACTACATGTATGACGATAATGTGGAGCAAGTAGATTGCGATGTACATGTATACACGGTGTACTCTATACATCTGAGAGTGTGTCTACATATGCACACACTTCTGAAAATGGGTGCGTTCGATTATTATCGTTCGATCAGACCTGTACGAGTTTAATCGCGACTTTCAATATCTCGCTTCAGTTAGCATTTTTCAATAATCGGATTATATCAAAGCAGCGATCAGACTCCTGTATAAGTATTAGGCCATGAGTGGCTCCGAAGCGTGGCCTGGAATGGCCTTGGATCTAGGCCAGGTTGGGGGAGGGGAATTGCCCCGTACAACACTAACTACAAGGCCATGGTTGGCCCTGGAGCAAGGCCAGGGGAAGGTGGCCCCGTACCTTCCTAGTTTAACTCCTTTTTGGTGCTCCTTTATTTTTTATATCAAAATGATTTATTCTATTTTTATTTTTTTTTGTTATTATTTAAGGAGTTCTTTATTTATAAGTTATTGTTTCACTTAAGGTGNTAGAATAAAAGTCTATGTATTTAAAAAGAAATTATCTTGAATTATTGCTCTGAAGCTATTTATGAATGTGAAAAAACAGAAATGAAAATTTTAACATCTAAGATTTAACTGTAATGCGAATGTGTATATCATCGATCTCTTTCATCAATGGAGACTGCGTAAGTTTAGAACCCTTATGACTTGCTAAGAAATTAATGATAGATGTGTTAGGTACCATTTGGACGTTTGGATGACTTGTAGCACTTCGTTGAAGTATTTACTTACTTGCAGCATCAGATATTGTAGTTGATGTAGAAGTCTTTTGATGAACCTGAAATTCATCATGTTCAGACTCATCTGATAATAATTTTAGATTATCTTTCAAAAAATCAGAGTGTATTGGGAATAAAGGAATAACCTCTTTTTTATCACCATCATCGGAGCTGGATGAGCTTGACGACAATTCCTGTGACGACATTGTTCATACAAGCTTGCAGTAAAAATGTTGAAAATACTAAGACTAAGCTCCTAAAATGAAAATAACACCATCAATAAATAATAATATATACTTGCAGTAATACATACCAAATAGCTTGTTGTCCACATATATTTATGGCGTTTGAGAGTAACCAACGTTATAGTAGTTCATACTTGTTATAACCATACATCGCCAGCAAGTCTTCAAACTTTCTGTCACGAAAACAGTGAGATTTGCGCGACAATAATAGAAAATTTTTATTCCTTTGCATAGACAGACACAAGCTTATATAGAGCCGAAGTTTAAGTAAAACTTTGATGCACGCTTCTATTTTGCAACGACAAACGAGAGAGAGAGAGAGAGTATCACAAGACGGCGGTGAAAAATAACAAGTATGACAACAAAGGAGAGCTTCAGCGAGCCATCGATGTATGCATGTGGCAACAACGACGACGATGGATAAAGTAAAGAACTATCAGGCACTACTGCTTTTAAGACCGACGCTTCTCTCGAGACTGCTGTTGTTGTCGTTGTGCTGACTGCAGACGGGAGAAACAAGTTACACTGTTACGGAATGCCTACGACGAGATCCGTTGATATACTGCTATACTATACAGATGGACGACTACGACACACGTACACTACATGCATGACGATAATGTGGAGCAAGTAGATCACGATGTAAATGTGTACACGGTGTAATCCATACATCTGAGAGTATGTCTACATATGCACATACTTTTGAACATGGGTGCGTTCGATTATTATCGTTTGATCAGACCTCAATGCTGGATAATCTTTAAGCCATCTTCAATTTATCTTTAAGACATTTACACTTAATGTCGATGAAACAGTAAGGTACTAAACATATCTGTATTAGTACATGGAGTATCCAATCATTCGATAGTACAGTTGGTAGCTTACCTGACTATCACCATGGGGTGCAAGGTTCAAATCCGAGTGAGGGGATAAATTTTTTATTTCGAAATAAGAATAAATTTAAAATTTTAAAAATTTTTTAAATTATATTTCAAAACGTGCGCTTATTCAAATACAGTCGGAGCGCTATCAGGCTGCAATCCAGTAGCCCGACTACTCACATACTATAGATCGATAGATCTCAAGCTAGGCCAACTCAAGCTAGGTCAAGCTAGGTGTGGTGGCTTAGTACCTGCATGGGTGGGGTGGCCTAGTCCCTGTACAGGTACTGGGCCAGGCCTAGTACCTATATAGATGAGGTGGCCTAGCACCTGTAGGGGTGGGGTGGCCCAGTCTCTGCTCTGTTTACCTACTTATACGATCGATAATAAAACCTTATTTCATTACACAGCAAGCTGAAAATACATTTTTAATTTTTGCAATATTATCACTAATTTCTCTTTAGAAGCTCCTTTTCTCAAATTTTACGGTGGACTTACACAGTATGCACTATACACATGCAAATACGTGCATGTAACTTATAAATATCTACGATTTTCTAGACAATGTTTATATTTTGGCTATCATCGTATTGTCTTAGAAAAAAAGATATACGTTCTTATAAAGTGAGATAAACATCATATAAAAAATATACCACCACTGTTTCTCGTGGATAGTTTCTCACAAAAAATTTAGCTGAGTACAAAGTTTTAACTTATTAGTGATATTATGTGCACTTGAAAATCAGCTGACAGTATTCTTCCAGAGGATATCGAATCATGGAAAGCCAATACTATTTTGAATGATTTCTTCAATCTTACCAAGACTGCACGCGAACCGCAGCCCAATCCGGCTTTTTCAGTAATTTTGTGGGCATGTCATGAGCGTAGTAACTATTAACAAATTTTTTTTGTAGTTTTGTGATATGTGAAGTGTTGTTATATTTTAGTGGTTTTCATGTAAACAAGGAAAGTTTTGCAAGTTTTGATATATTGTGAGAGACTTTCATATTCACGTAAAACATTCTTCTGTTGTTAAAGCAGAGGATTGATAAGATGCACCCATAACTGATAATATATGTAAAAATGTTTGAAAATGACGAAGACTACAATCCTGATTATAAAATTAGCCTCATAGACGAAAAAAAAATCAACTTTTACTGTAATACAATAAAATACATACATGTATCCCAGCGGACTTAAGTAATTTTAACAGTAGAGTGGTAGGTAATTAAAAGTGAGGACGTCGTAGTACATCATCCTACTTAGTGTACGATAAAAATTGGTCTGTTCGTAAACTTTTACGACTCCAAGTGGCGTGGGTTTCTTGTGACGGACTACTATGTCACAATAACTACTTGTACATCAAATGACACTTAGAAAATCTGCATTTTTTATCGATTGAGATTTGTTGTAAATCCACTGAGGACAATAAATCAGATGTTTTTGAGTATAAATAACTTGCGAAGTAATTGAAAACATGGATTACGAACAAAGCATTTTGAAATATGCACTTTGAAAGTGACTTTGTAAGACTTTTCATCAAATTAGGAATATAGTTATTCAAACAGTGTTGAGAATGCTTGCTGTGGCACTTTTTGCATGTGTATATACGACCTCACATCTCCTAACGATTTGTATACTTTTCCTCCTTAATAATGGATAGCAAAACTTTGTGTTTTTACTCTCAGTATAATGGGCATTTACATACATATGAACATGAAATCATACTCTATTTTATTTTTAAGCAAACACACACAAGCACATACAAACATACTTTCCCTTTGCCTCTCTTCTCTTTCTCACAATCAGTGCACGTAGAGTGTAAAGTTAATTCTGATTACTTAGACGTCATAGTCGAATGACATGAATATACTTTGACTCTAAAAAATATTGCAATAACTGATTCTACCAACGTAAATTTTTAATATAGAAGCCAAAGACACCCTTTTATACATCATAAAAATTTTTGAACATAAATAATTAAACTATAAATGTATTAAACTATACATACACGATATTTTTTTTGGCTCAAAGTAATCAGACTCACAAATTTGCTTAACTAATCTTTTAAAATTTGAGCCATCGAAAGGCATGGCACCATAAACAAGGGTGTATAGCAGCACTCCAAGACTCCAGCAATCAACTTCTGGTCCATTATATGGCGTTCCTTTGACGATTTCTGGACTAGCATATAATGGACTGCCACAAAAAGTATGAAGGAGTATTTGACTGTCAAATACATTTGACAGGCCAAAATCAGCTATTTTAGCATTTCCCATTTGATCCAATAGCACATTTTCAAGTTTGAGATCTCTATGACATATTTTGTGCTTATGACAGTAATATACTGCAGTACAAATCTGACGAAATATACGCCGAGCTTCATCTTCCGGTAAAATCTTGTGCTCACTAAGATAATCATATAGCTCTCCACCAGCTGCATATTCCATTACTAAGACCATTTTTTCCTTGTTTTCAAAAACTGAAACAAAAATTCATGATTATTAATTAAGTGAACATATGAAACAAAATTAAAATCCTTTATTTTACCAATAGTATTCTAATGCATAGCTTTCTAACACTGTCAAATTCCTGTAACAGGTAACTGAATTTTAGCTTCTGAACTTTTTTAGACATAGTAGTTAGTTACTACAGATGGACATTTTGTAACAAAAATATTAGATTACAGTTAAATATGTTTATTAATGACTTCAAGAAAATATAAGTAAGTATAACTGTAACTTGAGAGAAATTTATTTTTAACGATTTCTGTAAAACTTACTGACTCCTAGTTTCAAGTGAAAATGACTGTTACTAATTTTATTTAGCAAATTCAGTTAACCATATGGCACATGGACTTTGTTCTCTAAACATAAAAAATACACTAACAAGATTGTCAACATTCAAATTCTACATTATTCTGACATTAAGAAGTAACTATCCATTTTTTAGACCTAACTAAGGCCAGAACAAAGATAAGATATTAACTGAAAAGTTAACATCGCTCTAGCTGTATTCCAGTACGACTTTAGTACTTTTATCGTTAAAAAAGTTGACTTCGTAAAATGTGTAGGTATTACACCAGATTTTCACTATAAAATGAATGAAAACAAAGCAGCTTACTTGAAGTTTATAAGAATATTACGTTATTGACAAATCGAAAGATGGTTTGAAATATTTGAAATAATTAGCATAATCAACTCTATCTGTGCTCAGACATTTCTTCAAAAATAAATTTAATAGTCATACACTCTCTTCTTGAGCTCAACGATAGTCATGAAGTAAAGTTACTGCCAAAATTAAATTTTTTATGATCAAAAGATTTCTTATGGCAAGAAAGTTTAAAAAATCTCTTATTTATATCATGCACAATTTGTTATAAATATGTTTTATTATTTATGAGATAAATTTGACTGCATGAAAAAAGTTAATTTTAATTCAAACTAAGTAGAAAGTTAATCAAAGTAGATGAGTTTTGTACATCTATAAAAAAAATGATGACTGCAAAACTAATATTTTTATACAGTGGTGTATACATCATTAGCTACTTTAAAAGTGAAAACTTCAGTTATTGTAAGCGGCTTTTTTTTAACAAATATAATATTTCCATTGCTATGTATTCTAAGTTGTGTAACAAAATAAGAAATATGAAAAGTAAAAAGTTAAGTTTGTTGCTACATCAAAGAGTTGCGATTCATTATCAATAGTTTAATTATAAAAAAAATCTTAATTACAATTCTAAGGTACAGAAAAACTTTACGAAACAAAATTAAGGATTTACAAAGAAATGACATAAAGTACTAAAGTTAGTCAAGTTTGATATCATATTAAAAAGTTTGTATGTACTGAAAATGAGTTATTAATAATAAAAGTATATTTATCAAAAGATCTCTGAAAAAAAACTTTACAAAAAAAAATTAAAAATTTTTGAAAGTTATGAAATGACCAAAAAAATTGTTAACTTTCAAATAAAACAACTATTGCATTACTCTAAAAAGCTTATTATTTTAATACAAAGCATACCATAGAAATATTTAAAAAAATCATTTAATTTGTTATGACTAACTTGCCTGGCTGGAAATATACTGTTTTTGACATGTATTACGTATTAAAAAAAAAATTTTGTCTGCTTTAATAAAAAGTCCAAAAACTGTTTAGTTATGCAAACTATAATATCTATGATATTTGTTTGAAGAAGAAATTATTAGTAATTTGAATGGTTAAAATGTTAATAAACATTTAATATTCAACATTAATTCAATATGTTAAAGATTGAAGTATCTTATTTATTATCTGTTATAATAGATCTGTAAATAAATAACCCTGTTTAGTGAAATAAAAAAACCTTAGCTGTCTATTGTCTAATTCATAAGCGCAATAGACATATAAAAAAATACTTACAGGGTGCAGAAATGTTTTGTACTGGAAAGCTAAGTCAATAAATTAAAGTATTTGCACTCCCATTAGTCATCTATATAACGATAGTTTAATACACATTTTTTTCTTAAATTAATGATGATTGTTCACCAAAAAAATAGAATGCCGGCTTGGCAAGTTCTATGTAACAAATTCATAACAATTTTGCAAAGGATTAACATGATTTTCTTAGTACTAAAATACTAAACTTATTAATGAGTTGCACCAATTGTATATGCATTTACGATGATTTTAGAAATTTTTTTTTTCTTGATCTTCTTACTTTGTTAATTATTTTGTTTGTTTCGTACAACTTCTTACTAATTTATCTGTAACTAAACATATTTTCGGAAAGTAAGAACCATAGCTTCTTTAAGTATATCGTCAATTTGGGTGTCGTATTCCATCACTTCCATTGATATTGCTGCAGCAGTATCTTTAAAGTTTTTGTGAATGATTTTTTTATATATTTTTAAATCTTCTAATAACGTCACACTTTTTACTTTATTTAATATTAAATAATTTTATGTGATTTTTAAAATTATTCAAACTCTTTTGGGGAGTGAGTACGCAAGGGGTGCAGGGGATAAAGCCCACTAGTTTCTGTCCATATAGTGATTTTTAAGAGATATTCCACACATTTTTTAGTCCCTCAGCTTTTTTGGCTTCTCCTCTAAATAAGGTAAAATTGTATTAGTTGTCACTTTACTTCGATTAGGTTATGTATTTGGTTTTCTGATAAAACCCCCTACAGACATCTCACTGACCCCAGACCAACCCCCCATTGACCCCTGCACAGCTTATGTTGTTCCCCTCCAACCCCTTTTAAGCCCCGTGTACGATTTTTGTTGTTGCCCCCCCCCCCATTGATCACCTACTAGTAAACGTAACCTCTTACCAATGTAACTCAGTAGAAACAGTAACTTTTACAACATTGACTCTTTTCTATTGGCTTTTTTTAAGGGTTCTCATGGAAGACACAGCAACAAACCAGAAATGAGTAGCTTTTTTCTAGAATTGTCAGTTTTTTCAGTTTTTCAATTCACGCAGACTATACGTGCATTTAAGATATATAGTTGTAACATCAAAACCTTATGCAGGCAGTCAGTAAAAGTCTGCATAAATAAGGTTTTTTGTACGTAAAGTATCAGCTTAAGTAAAAATAAATATGTATATATCTCCCTATATTATATAGGTGTTTGTGTGGGGCATTCCACATATCCCCTCCACAGCCCTTCACAGCCCCCCACAGACCCTCCACAGCCCCCTCACAGACCCCCCACAAATTACCTGAAATTTAACCGTTTCTATCAATAATTTGACATTTTCTAACTTTTTCCTTAGACCCCCCATAGCCCCCCACACAATTTTGCCTATCCCTCCACAGACCCCCTACAGCCCCCCACAGGCCCCGCACACCATTTTTCATACATCATGTCATGTATACTTATTAAATGATGAAACATTAAAAAGTGATTTTCAATTTATTACCATAAATATTGCCGATTTATCTATAAAAATCATTAAGTAAAGTCAATAAATTATGTAAAAATCTATTTCCAAACATTATTTTCTATTTCTGTATTTTTTTGCCTTTCTACTTAAATAAATAAATTATTTTTATCTTTGCATCTTGATAAAGCCACGTATAATTGACCATAAGAAAATAAATGTTTTTTTAAAAAGTTATTCTTGGAATGAAGACTGTATTTCCAATTTTTCTCCAGTCATTATTTCTCCTTTTCTATTATACTGTAGGAATTTTGTGATTTGTAAAAGTGTTCTATTACAGCAGAGTCTATCTGATATACTTAAATTTCTCAGTAACGTCACTATTGTACCAATTTTTAGATTTAGTTCAAGAGGTGGTAATCCTTCACGAATATTGTTCAACATTTCCACCGAAAAATTTAAATAAATATCATTGTTTGATTCATCAACCCCTTTGTAAGTTGCGTTATCTATACTATCTTAAGTTTTATTTTCTCCAGTTAATTTTTTAAGAATTTTGTTATTAAAATAAGAGGTGTTCTCGTTATGCTATTTAAGTGTAACACTATTTGAAAGTTCAAAGTGATCAGTGATCCGTTGGGGGCGAAATGTGAGAAAATAAATAAATACAAGTCAAGTGTATTTAAATTTTTTTGCGTTGATTTATTAATACGCAACGATTCGCTGACAAAATGCGTCAGCCTCATCAGGCGCAGGTACGCGACTCAGTCGATAGCACGACAGGTGACAAGTAAGTCAACCAAACTTACGAATTCTCGCGTTCCGGCGCCTGCTGAGGCTGACGCATATTGTCAGCGAAACGTTGCGCATTAATAAATCAACGCAAGAAAATTTCAATACACTTTACTTGTATTTGTTTATTTTCTCACATTTCGCCCCCAACGGATCACTGATCACTTTGAATTTCCAAATTCACCGGAGGATACTGATATATACTAACAAACCTGTAACACTATTTATCAAACAATCGCAGATATTAGAAAATATTTGAGAGCACTCATCATTTGAGATCCAATTTTTAGGAATTTTCAAAGTTTTTATTTCCCTTTCCTTAATTGTTAATGATAATTTTAAAAATCCTTTATTGTTAGAACGAATATTGATTTCTAATTTTAAAATTTG